TGTATTAAAAGCCATGTTTCCGTGAAGTATGCCCTCACGAAACCTTACTCCGGTTAATAAAATTCACGCCTGTCAGAAAAGAGTACTACTGGTATTGTATTAAAAGCCATGTTTCCGTGAAGTATGCCCTCACGAAACCTTACTCCGGTTAATAAAATTCACGCCTGTCAGAAAAGAGTACTACTGATATTGTATTAAAAGCCATGTTTCCGTGAAGTATGCCCTCACGAAACCTTACTCCGGTTAATAAAATTCACGCCTGTCAGAAAAGAGTACTACTGATATTGTATTAAAAGCCATGTTTCCGTGAAGTATGCCCTCACGAAACCTTACTCCGGTTAGTAAAATTCACACCCGTCAGAAAAGAGTACTACTGGTAATGTATTAAAAGCCATGTTTCCGTGAAGTATGCCCTCATTAAACCTTACTCCGGTTAATAAAATTCACGCCCGTCAGAAAAGATGCTATCAGGCTCCTTCTGATATTTATAAGAGTGAGTTGCTTTTAATATGTTTGACGAGTTTGCTCATTTGTTTTTAAAAACCACCGAGACAGATCAGCAAGATTTAAAAGTAAAGACACATCAGCAGAATTTCTTAATGCACAATTGTAGATCTGGAATTCATAAAACCTGGTTGGGAAAAAGCAGGGGCAACATTTACATATCATGCCGAGCTTAGTTTTAATGGCAGGATTTGCCCAAGCTTTGCTTAATCCAGTATTCTTTTGCAAAAATCTCAGCTCCCAAATTGCATTAGAAATTAGAAAGTCTTTCTTCTACCCACGTCTGACCTATAGAAAAAAAGCATTCTATAATTCCAGAAGTCGCTATGAAAGTCTGCATGCATTGTTGGAGACGAAACTTCAGCTTTTGACTGCAGGCGTCATCTGCCCCATGTATAAATTTTAATTTAAAAATTAACTCTCTGTATATAAGTTAATAGTTCCGATTGCAGGAAAGACATGTAATAATGGCATCACTGTTTTTTTTAACGCTGTAACTGTACGAAATCCATAACCCACCCACCCTCGCCCAGCCCGTAGAGTGAAAGGATTAAAACTTTTCAACTTTTTAAATTCATTTTTCGGAGCATCGAAAGACGTTAAGGAGCAGCACTATCGCAACTTGACTGATGCCAAAACAATGGATGGGAGACCACCAGGAAACACTGGGAGGGCAAGGATCTGGGAAGAAAGCAGCACAGATGCCAGGAAAACGGCATAGATGCAGACATGCCAGGAGCTAAATTCAACTGGAGGAAGTCCTCATTGGTGGGGTTTTTTTTAAATAAACAGGGCAATGGGTTCTTTCGGTCTGTAGAGGTTTTGGGTACCTATGCCAGCTTTCAGTCCCCAAGCCTCTTCCCCCAAATGGGTCTAGGGTCAACCTTTCTAGAGGATGGCCCTCAACGCGTCATCCAAAGTCACAAAATCAGGGAAAAGGAAACCCAGACAAACCCTTCCTTTCTGGAAATCCTTTCTATGATTATTAGGGGTGGGGGAAGCTACCCCCCCCCCAGATAATCCCCTAGCAAAAGAGGCTCAACCTATTTTACAAAACCCCTGAAGGCTGGACAAGAAGCAACAGGTGGAAACTAATCAAGGAGAGAAGCAATCTAAAACTAAGGAGGAATTTTCCCCGAAAGAGAGAACAATTAACCAGTGGAACAGCTTGCCACCAGAAGTTGTGGGTGCCCCAACACTGGAAGTTTTTAAGAAGAGATTGGACAACCATTTTGTTGTCTGAAATGATGTAGGGTCTCCTGCTTGAGCAGGGGGAGGGGTTGGAGTCAATGACTTCTAAGGTCCCTTCCAAAACTAATCAAGGAGAGAAGCAACTTAGAACTGAGGAGAAATTTCCTGACACTTAGAACAATGAATCAGTGGAACAGAAGTTGCCTCCAGAAGTTGTGAATGCCCCAACACTGGGAGTTTTTAAGAAGATGTTGGATAGCCATTTGTCTGAAACGGTATAGGGTTTCCTGCCTAGGCAGGGGGTTGGACTAGAAGACCTCCAAGGTCCCTTCCAACTCTGCTATTGTGTTGCATTGTATTGTATCAGTGGAACAGAAGTTGCCTCCAGAAGTTGTAGATGCCCCAACACTGGAAGTTTTAAAGAAGATATTGGACAATTATTTGTCTGGAACGGTATGGGGTTTCCTGCCTAGGCAGGGGGTTGGACTAGAAGACCTCCAAGGTCCCTTCCAACTCTGCTATTGTATTGTATTGTATTCTAATTTCCATTCTATTATACTCTTAATTCTACTCTACTCTTATTTCTATTCTATCCTATCCTATTCTATCCCAACTCTTGTTATTCTGACCACCAAAGATTGCTCCTTCTCATTATTATATCATCAATATACTTACATATGTTATCTAATACATGCTTGACAAAATAATAAAATAAAAAGTTTAAATTATTGCCCCAGCCTCTTCCAAATATCTCCCCCCTCCCAAATTCCATTCTTCCACAATGGGGTGGGTTGGGGGGAAGGAAGGAAAGATCTGGAATGGGGGGAAAAGACCCCCTTAAGCAATTCCTATGGGGAACATATACCCCCCCCCAGAAATAACAGGGGGGGGGGCTTCTGCCATTGATTACCCACCCACCCCTTTGCAAAATCGTAACAAGGCTGAGGGGGACAAGGCCTCTCTCCCCCCCCCAATAATTTAATGACCCCTCTCCATCCCCTCACAGCCTTGAGGAGGAGGGGGGTCCAAGAAGGGAGGCGCACCTGCCCCCCCGCATCCCTCCCGCCGCCACACTCACAGAACTCGGCGATGTAGGAGGACACGACGTAGTTCTCCTCACACCAGTCCAAGGTGGACGTCGGCGGGCCCCAGTAGCCGGCGCGGTCGCCGGCGGGAGCCATGGCCGGTCGGAGGGCCGAGCGCGGAGGAAAGGAAGCGCCTGCCGCCGCATCCGCTCTTTTTCGGGGCCCTCGGGCGAGCTGACCCCGCCTTCCCGGCGGCTTGAGGCGGGGCAGCGGCGGCGGGAAGCCCGCCTGCTAGGGCCTGGCGGGCAAGGCCTCTACGTCGCTATGGCGACCAAGGCGAACGGCTCGCAAGGTTTGCCGGGACGGTGGAGAGGGAGGGGGGGGCTCTACGTTGCCATAGCGACCGGCGACGAATCGTCTTCGAGGCTTGCCGGGCTGGAGGGTTCTGCGTTGCCATGGCGACCGGGCGGCGAATCAAGGCTCGCCGGGCCGAGGGTTCTATGTTGCCACGGCGACGACCCGTGTGGGGGTGGGAACCGCCTCGCGAGGTTCCAAGGGCCGGGTCTCGGCGTTGCTATAGCGACCTCCATCCCCCTGGGTCCGTAAGGGGGCCGGTCTCTTTCGACCAACGTTAGGCCTCACAGGCATCCCAAGATGCTAGTCCTCATGGAGGCCAGGGAAAGGGTCCCGAATATTAGCTGAAAGTAAAGCTAACTTAAAAGTTGGCTAGGCTGCCAAACACTAATCTAGAGTACCAATAAGAGGCACAGGTGAATAAAATTTAATTTTAGGATCATTTTTTTTTAAAGGAAAAATAAAGAAATTGGTGATAAATTTTGAAGATTCAGGAGCAGTTGTGGAAATATGGAAGGATAAACCTCACATCTGAAGTAGCCATAAATGAATATATCTAGGTAGTCCTCGATTTACAACGTTCATCTAGGGATTTTTTCGAACTTACAACGGCACTGAAAACAAGTGACTTGCGACCATTTTTCACAGTTACAATCTTTGCAGCATCCCCACGGCCACACGATCCAAATTCAGATGCTTGGCTCACATTTACGACGGTTTCAGTGTCCTGGCCAAGCTGGCGCAGTGGTTAAATGCAGCACTGCAGGCTGCTGCTAGATCAGCAGGTCAGCGGTTCAAATCTCGCC